TATAAATATCTCAAATTTGTACTTTATGACTGAGTATTACTCCATTGGTATTTTAAAAGAAGCCACATCTTCTTTATCCATTCATCAGTTGATGGGCATTTGGGCTATTTCCAAGATTTAGCTATTACAAATTGTGCTGCTATGAATATGAATGTGTGTATATCACTGTGGTATCATGCTTTTGGCTCTTTTGGGAAGATACCCAAAAAGGAAATAGCTGAGTCAAATGGAACCTCTAACACTAGTTGGTTTTTTTTTAGGAATCTTCACACGCATTTACGCAGTACTTGCACCACTCGACACTCCCACCAACAGTGGAAAAGTGTACTTTTTTCTCCACAGCCTTTTCAGCATTTTGTTATTTGTTGATTTCTTGATAATAGCCATTATGTCTTATTTATTTATTTATTTATTTGCTTATGATATGTATTTAGTTGGTACATTTAAAGTATACAATGTAGTGACATTCATCATTGGAAATTTGCATCTTTACATAATACATCTTGGTTCTTTCCCCCCCCACTCCCCTGCCTGCCCTTCAACCCCATCCATCCCCAATCTACAAAGACTTTGTTTCCATTTTTTTCTTTTTCTCATGTTAATTCCATTCCCATCTTTCTTTTCCCATACCCCTCCCATTTCCCCTTCTGCTTTGCACTTTTCTTCCTATTTCAAATCACCTATTATACCTTTTAGTCCTTACTTACACTTTCAGTTTCTCACACTAGAGGAACTATTTGGTATTTACACATATTTGTCCTGTTTATTTCACTTAAGGGTATCACTCCAATGTGCTTCCCCTTAGCTATAAATGTCTCTAGTTTCTCATTCTTTATGGCTGAGTAGTACTCCATTTTATTTTTAAAAAAGCCACATTTTCTATATCCAGTCTCCTGTTGATGGGCAATTGGACTGCTTCCATGTTTTATCTATTACAAGTTGTGCTGTTATTAACACAGATGCACATATATCACTGTGGTATGATTCTTTTAATTCTTTGGGAAAGATATCCATCAGGGGGTAGCAGGATCAAAGAAGACCTCCAATACTAGTTTTTTGAGGTATTTCCATACTGATTTCCACATTGACTGCACCAGTCTACATTCTCACCAGCAGAGGAGTAGGGTTCCTCTTTCCTCACAGACACACCAGCATTTGTTATTGGTTGATTTCATGATAGCAGCCATTCTTTCTGGGGTGAGATGGAATCTCAGTGTTGTTTTCATTTGCATTTCTCAAATAACCAGTGATGTTGACATTTTTTATATGTTTATTTGCTATTTCTATGTCTTTGTCTGAGAAATAATCTGTTTATTTCAGATGCCTATGTTTGGATTGGGTCTTTAAATTTGGGAGGTCTAATTTTTTTAAGTTCTTCATATATTCTGAGGAAGAACTGGTGGAAAGTTTTTTCCCCACATTGTGGGTTGTCTATTCACACTGTTGGTGGTTTCTCTTGCTGTGCAGAAACTTTTTAATAGGAAGTGATTCCACTTGTTGGTTGTTTGTGCTAGTTCACAGGCAACTGACAAACATTCTGTTCATAAAATCTTTTCTTACACCAATACCTTAAAGAGTTTTACCTAACCTCTTTTCCAGTGAACTTACTGTTTCTTTTTTAATATTTAGATCTTTAATCCATTTTGATTTTAGTTTAGTGCATGGTGAGAGATATAGGTCTAGTTTAATCTTTGGCAGGTTGAAGCCCAGTTTTTCCAGCACCATTTATTAAAGAAGCTATCTTTCCTCCAGTGAGGGTATTTGGTTCCTTTGTCAAAGATGAGGTAGCTGAGTGTGTCTGGACTTGTTTCTGCATCTTCTGATCTGTTCCACTGGTCCTCAAGTCTGTTTCTTTGATACTACCATGTTGTTTTTATCACAGTAGCTTTGTAGTATAGTTTCAAGTTGGGGATTGTAATACCCTCTAGCTTGTCTTTATTGCCTAGAATAGCTTTTGCTATTCTAGGTCTCTTCATGTTCCAAATGACTTTTTGGATTATTTTCTCAAGGTCTGTGAAGTATGCTGCTGGGATTGCAATTGGGATTGCATTTAATCTATATAGCAGTTTTAGAATTATGGCCATTTTCACTATGCTGATTCTTCCTACCCAGGAGCAAGGGATGTCTTTCCATTTTCTGATATCCTCTTCTATCTCTTTCTTCAGAGTGTTGTAGTTTTCACAGTAGAGGTCTTCAATTTCTTTTTTTAGGTGGATTCCTAGATATTTCAATTTTTTGATGCTATCCTGAAAGGGATTGTTTGCCCACTTCTCTCTCAGTGAGTCTGTTTTTCATATACAGAAAACCTATTGATTTGCTGAATTTGGTTATTAAGTCTAGAAGACTTTTAGTGAAACTCTTGTGGTCTTCTAAATAGAGTATCATGTCATCTTCAAATAATGACAATTTGACTTCTTGATTTCCTCTTTATTTCTTTTATTTATTTCTCTTCTCTAATTGTTGTGGCTAATGTTTCCAAAACTGTATTGAACAGGAGTGGTAATAGTGGACATCCTTGTCTTGTTTCTGATTTTAATGTGAGGGATTTCAGTTTTTGACCAGTTAGTATGATATTGCCTATTGGTTTTTCAAAGATGGCTTTAATCAGATTGAGGCAGAGATCATCTATTCCAATTTTTAGGAGGGTTTTTATAATAAATGTGTGTTGGATTTTGTCAAATGCTTTTTCTATTGAGATGATTGTATGGTTTTTATCGTTGGCTCTATTAATATAGTGTATTACATTTACTCATTCGCATATGTTGAACTATCACTGCATCCCTGGAATGAATCCCACTTGGTCAAGGTGTGTGATCTTCTTACCGATCTCCTACATTCTATTTGGTAGTATCTTATTAAAGATTTTTACATCTATGTTTATTAGTAAGATTGGCCTATAGTTCTCTTTTACAGTTGGGTCTTTCTCTGCTTTGGGAATCAGGTGATGCTTGCTTTTAGGAATGAATTTGGGAGTATTGCTTCCCTTTCAATTTCATTGAAGATTTGAAACAGAAGTAGCAATGGTTCCTCTCTAAATGTCTTGTAAAATTCAGCAGTGAAACCATGAAGATCCAGACTTTTATTAGTTGGTAAGTTTTTTATTATGTTTTCAATTTCATTGATTGATATTGCATTGTTTAGAATTTTTAGGTCATCTTCGTTCAACTTTGTTAATTCATACAAATCTAGGAATCTGTCCATTCTTCTGTATTTTCCATCTTATTAGTGTATAAGTTCTTAAAGTAGGTATTGATGATCCTCTGGATTTCTGCAGGGGCCATTGTAATTTCACCCTTTTCATTCCTAATTGCATGGATGTGGGCTTTTGTTTTGTTTTGTTTTGTTTTTGATAAGGTTGGCTAAGGGTTTGTCAATTGTGTTTATCCATTCAAAGAACCAACTTTTGGCTTCATTGATTTTTTTTTTTTGGGGGGTATTGTTCCCTTAGTCTCCACTGAATTAATTTCAGCCCTGATCTTTTATAATTTCCTCCTTGTATGACCTTTGGGTTTGACCTACTTTTCTTTTTCTAGAAGTTTGAGGTTCAGCATCAGGTTGTGTAATTGATCTCATTCTGTTTTCCTAATATGAATATTCACTGCTATGAATTTCCATCATAAGACTGCTTTCATTGTGTCCCTTAGATTCCAATATGTTGTACTGTCATTGTCATTAATTGTAAAAACTGTCTGATTTCTTCTTTAATTTCCTCTGTGACCCATTGGTTATTCAGAAGTGTGTTGTTTAATTTCCACGTGTTTAAGAAATTTTTGCAGTTTCTTTTGCTATTGATCTCTAATTTCAAGGCACTATGGTCTGATAATATACAGGGGATAACTTCAATTCCTTTGCACTTATTGAAACATGTTCTATGAGCAAGTATAGTGCTCGCCTGGACAGCACATATACTATGAGCGAGTATATTGTCTATTTTGGAGAATGATCCATATGCATCTGAAAAGAATGTGTATTTTGATTTTGTGGAGTGGAACACTCTGTAACATCTGTTAAGTTCATTTGTTCAAGAGTCTGATTGAGTTCTGCTATTTCATTATTTTTGTCTAGTTGATCTATTATGACAATGGAGTATTGAGGTCTTCCACTACAATTGTATCAGTGCTTATATAATTTTTCATGTCCGTTAGTATTTGTTTTATATAGTTGGGCACACTTGTGTTTGGTGCATATATATTTATGATTGTCATTTCTTCCTCTTGGATTGTTCCCTTTGTAAGTATGTAGTGTCTTTTGTCTTTTTTTTCTCATTGAGTTTATTGGTACATTTTAGGTATACAGCACAGTTACATTCATCATTGGGATCTTGTACCTTTATATGACAGGTCTTGGTTCTCATTTTTCCCCTTATTCCTGCCCTTCCTTCACTCCCTCCTCCCTTTTCTATTTCTTCTTTGTCTGTCTTAATCAGTGTTGGTTTGAAATTCACTTGATCTACAGAGGGGATAGCTATTCCTGCTTTTTGGGGAGTTCCTGTCTCATGGAGTATTGTTTTCTACCCTCTACCTTTCAGCCTATGAGTTTCTTTTTGACTTAAGTGTATTTCCTGTATGCAGCATATTGTTGGATCTTGCTTCTTGACTCATTCTGCCGGTCTATTTCTTTTGATTGGTGAATTCAGACCATTAATATTGATGGTTATAACTAATATGTATTGACTTATCTTTGTCATGACTTTTTTCTTTTTGTTGGATTTTATTTATTTGGGACTATCCCAAAATTGTTCTACAGAATAAATACAATCCTCATCCATAATATTTTTATTTGACAGAAATTGCTATGAACATTTGATCAATGATATGATTGAAAAACACAGTGAACTTTTAAATTAAAACTTCTATTAGAGTGAAAGACACATTTCCATTACTCTCCCTCAAAATATTCTTCCTCATTTTGAACACACATACCATGATTCTTGGCAATATGACTTTTAATGTAATAAATTTTCTTTAAACATTTGTTGTATTTTTCAATCACTACTTCACTGAAGGTCTCTAGGAAATCCCACATGATATGGAAACAAATTTTTAATCAAGTTTTCAAGAAGACTGGACATGGGATGTGTACCCTGAGGGAAGACCAGGCTGTCTCTTAGGATCCTGATATTATGAGGGAAATCTTTGCATACAAGGCTTGCTTGCAGCCTTGATCTTAATTGATGTGTGTGATGTGATGCATGTGCATCATTGGTTTAAAGTGTAGAAGCAATATTTTAAATGTTTGAGAGCTTAGTCAAACCTTCACCCTGGAAAAAAATACTGACCTTACTCTTCACAAACATATGTGACCAAGCAGAGGGATTGCTGCCAATTTAATAACTCTGCAAAATATTGCTTGGATGCCCGGAATTTAGCCTTAACAATGTTAGGAGCTTTCTTGTTAGAAGTGAACAGTCACCGCTTATATATGATGGATGGGTGATATTTACCAATGTGTCTTATCGTTCACCATCTTCTGTCCATTTTCATGTGGGTAAAGGTTTCACTTTTTTGCCTTCTTACTCATTTTTGTTGGCATTGCTCTTTTGCTGTCAGAGAAAGAGAAGAAAAAAGTGTGATCAATATGACCCCATTGAAATCCCTGATAGAAACTACTCATTGTGGAAACCAGTGGCTCAGGTACTCAGGCATATGTCTGCAGCTGTAAAACAGGGAAGCTCTATCTTGTGATGAAAAGAGCATCAGATTTGAAGGCAGGACACTAGTGGTCTTTTTGGAAAGCACCTATGTCCTGTGGGTCTTACTGGCCTTATCTGAAAAGGGAACACTTACTTACTGTAGTCTCTGATATACCGCAAGTTTGTTTAGGGATTGTGACCATAAAGGCCAAGTAAAGAGATGTAGAAACCATGAGGACATTATATCCCATGTGCCACAAATGCAGGCTTTTCTTCTAAACCTTATCTCTTTCATCTACTCTTCCTCATCAAGTTCAAACTACCTTCAGATGCTGGGGCATTCTTAATTTTTCTTTTCTCTTTTTCAGTGCATAGTGTGGGACTGGGACTCCAATGGCAAGCATGACTTCATTGGAGAGTTCACCTCGACATTCAAAGAGATGAGGGGAGCAATGGAAGGGAAGCAGGTACACACACCATCCATGTCATAACCCGGATCTTTAGTACTCAGTTATAAATGACAAAGACAAAAACACCAGTGTATGACTCAGTCTGGTGAAAAGGCAATACAGTGAAATTTGATTCTAGCATAAGCTCAACATTCAGTGTTGTGTGGCCTTGATTAAGATACTGCCCCCAAATGATGCAGTTCTGCATCGATAAAATGGATGAGAAATTTCCTAATTCCCTTTAGTTGGGTAGTCCTGGAAAAGTAACTTAATTTCTGTGTGTCTTATTCTTCTTGTCTAAAATGTAAAGGTGAGAATTGTACCTACCCCATAGGATTGTTTGAAATTTACATGAGCACCTAGCAAGCACTTCCAGAATTCTGACTGTTAGCAATAGTATTCTTTCCAGTTCTACACTTACGTGACATGGTGACATTGATAATACATTTAATGCTTTGGAGAAATTATTTGAATCCACCAAAATTTTATCATGGGCACCAGGTTTTCCTATAGTTGCATAATTTCACTCTTCCATATTTGCTACTAAGACATGTACCCAAACACTACCAGGTAACATAAAAACACATTGCACTATCCTGAGACCTAAACCCTTTCTGTGTTTCTCTCAGACACACATGCCTTGAGTATCATTCAGCTATGGTCAGTTCTCTAGGGGAATTCAACCTGAGCTACTTATCATTCTTGTTTTGGAGTCCACTGTCCCAATGGAGCAGAAAGGAGGGACAGCTCAGGGACTTTTAGAAAGGTCTCCTCCATTGGAGAGAGGAACGGGAGGATGAAGGGAGTGGCTTTTTAAAAAGCATTACTGGAGATGTTCTGATTTTGGATTCCATTTTGACTTTTCTTTCCTTCATCAGAGAATCCCAAATTTTGAAGGAGTCATAGAGGCCCCTTAGTTAGTACTGGATGTCTGTCTTCCCAACCATTAAGTAGTCGCTATTCCCTCATGGAACCTCCTCAGTGAGGAGAATCCACTGTGTAATCTACTGCTGAATAATCAGTTATCCACAACTTCATGTCCAGAAAGAACAGTCATTGTTTCAGGTTTCTAGGTTTACAGTTTTATTGAGACACAGCCTTTTCCACTCCACCTTCTGCCCATTCAGCTCTCAAGTACATGAGCCTCAGCAGTGGAGGTGGCCAAGACCTTCCCCTCCATGCGTCAAATGGGTATCTGCAGAACTCTTCTTCCTTCTGCCCCTTCATTTGTCCCTACGAATAGGAGTAAGGATTTGTGTGCTCCGGGCACTAAATCTATTAACAGGTTAATCATTTAATTCCCATGAGTATCCTGAGATAGGTACTAAAAGTCCCATTTTACAGAGAAGTGAACCAAGGCTCAGAGGAATCAAGTAATTTGCCTAAGGTCACACAGCTAGGAAATGAAGACATTAGAAGTTGAACCAGGCAATCTGATGTCAGAATCTCTCTCACTCTCGATTACTCCCCTAGATGCAGGGGTGACCCCCTAGAGACCACTTGTCAGCCCTGCAGTGCAGTGTGTCTACAGCAGCACCATGGGCTTGGTCTCCTGGGATGACTAGCCTTCTCCAGAGCAGGCTCTCACGCTGTGGCTCCTCTTATTGCAGATACAGTGGGAGTGCATCAACCCCAAGTACAAAGTCAAGAAGAAGAATTACAAAAACTCAGGCATTGTGATCCTGAATCAGTGCAAGGTACGTGCCCAACCCTACTCTGAACCGAGGATGACCTCAGAGGAAGAGTTCCCATTATAGGAAAGGGATCAGGGGAAGGGAGAAAAAGGGAGTGGGAGGGAATCAAAAATGATCAAGATACACTGACCTATGTACAAATTCCCCAAAACAAATGTAAATAGTATGCATCACAAACAAAACAGTAAAAAAAGAATTCAGGTAAGAGTTCAGGTGGAGTGGTCACAAGGCAAGAGTGTCACAAAGAAGTGATCTCTTAAAAATAAAAATCAGAAATCCTATGTATTCATGGTCATTAAAGAGAAATGCAACTATAAGTAGTCTTGGAGCTGTGAGAATCTAATACCATTGTCCTGTCCCCAAGCACAGTCATGGTGTCAAAGACAAGAGGATCCTGGAGACAGATCTGGCTTTCCTCTCCTGAGGGCAGGGAGCTCAAATGGGCAGCAAACATTTCTAGACACCTACCATGTGCCTGCCACTATGTTCAGTGCTTTGTATGTGGTGCCTCACTCATGCTGAAAGGGTAACCTGAAAACAAGACAAGGGAAGAGCATTGAAGAACCCAGAAATTCCTCTCAAGGGGCTCAAATTTGTAGAGAATCCTACATTAATAAATAAACTTTTAAAATCACATCCAGGAGTAATTCTGCTGTTAGTTGAGTACCTACTGTATAAGATTAATAAATTCTGTTTAACTTTTATCACAACCGAGATTTCTACCTTCAACTGAGGTAATGCAAGCAGCTCAGAATCACACAAGTGGTAGGATTAAGAACTGCATTACCGTGCTATTACTTCATGTCTATCTGACTCCACCACACAGGGTTTAAATGCCATCCACATTGCGCGTGCACACATACACCCACACACACACACAAATACAGATGTGCCTCAATTTTTCATAGGATTACATCCTAGTAAACTCATAGTAAGTAAAAACTACATTCAATACACATAAATTACCACATATAGCTTAGCAATACAGTATACTAAGTATTAACTATGTGACTAACTGGAAATTGTAGCTCTCTGCTGCTACACACCAGTGAGAAAGTATTATACTGCATTTCCCTGGGCTGAGGAAATATCACAATTCAAATTTCAGTCTTTATTGAATGTATGTCAGTTTCTGACCATAAGATAAAACAATCATAAATCAAACCTTCATAAATTGGATAATGACTGTGTGTGTACATCTCAAGTTTCTTTTCCCAGACTAGTCTTTGCATGACATCCAAAAGCTGCAGGATTACATCCTCATATAACCAAACAGTAAAGGTTAAGACTGACTAGTCTGACTTGGGTCACATGTCTACCCAAGAACCACTCACTGGGACTAAAGGATAATGTGTTATCATTGGCCATCTGGGGTCATTATAATTCTCCTGTTTGGTTTGTTTTGTTTCATGTATTTTTGATGATTTGACATCTCTGAGCCTATGGAGTCAAGGAGGAACTACTTCTCCCAGGCTTACCTAATTCCTGAAGAGTAAACTTTCCTCCTAGCATGCCTTTGATATGCAGAACAACCAATCTCAAGTCCATACTTTCACCTACCCTCTTTACTAAACGCTCACATACCAAGTTTGTTACCTGCTTTATATCACCTTGGGGGTCAAGTATCAAACAACTGGAGACCACCCCTGTAGCTCAAAGCTGGCTGAAATAATTCAAAAGCATCTAGTTCTAAAACTTGTTAGCTGCTTACCTGGGCTCACCCATTTCTTTCAGTGAAAACCATGAAATATAGAGCCTTTTATACAAACATTCCCCTCACTCCTGCTTCCTGTTTGACCCTGGAGTTTCCCATTTGGCTCTCCTCTGTAGCATGACAGTCTCCTATTATTTGAGAAGCTGTGAATAACAACCTCTTCTTATAAAGGCTGTGTTTTGTGTCATTCATCTTATCATACCTATACAAATCCAATCCTGGACATGTTCAAAACAGCCATGTTTCCATCCCTGTGCCCAGAGAAGCAAAAGAAAAGATCTAAATGAGCCAATTCAATGGTTATCTCTCTCCTTAAAGTGACTATACAGATATCTATTTGATCTTCCAAAAGTTGATCTTATAGCTCAGTGCTCAGGAGCCATTGTGATTCACTTATGTCCAAATTCTTTTTTCCTTGATACTGTCAGGAAAGCATTGTCAACAGGGCCAAGAGCAAGCATTGTTCAGAGAACTATTTGAACCTCAACCCTGAGAAAATTCTGCCTGTGATTGTGCGACCGTCTCTAAAAAACATCCCTAGGTGTCAGATGGAATCTGAACAGTAAGGGAAGAAGTTACTGTTTGTCCAGATAGAAGGCTACAGACTATAAGGACTATGACTGCAGCTACCATGTCTGTTTCTGTCACCACTATTTCTCTAACTTCTAGCACATAGAGGGTGCTCAATGAATGCTTGATGAATGGATGAATATCACCAAGAGCTAAGTAGCAAAATCATAAAGAAGCAGAAATTAAGACCAGAAACCAGTAATGTACATGAGAATGCAGATGGTAGTAGTCATTGGCAGAAAGCAACAGCTATCCTGACTTCCAGTATAGAAGTAAAAGAATGAACTATCCAGTCCGACTTCCATAGTATGAACCCCAACTCCATCACTTACTATGTGATCTTATCTTTTGTTTTCTCCTCCATAAAATGGGTAATTATACCCAATAATATTAATACCATCTTCATAGGATTGTTCTTAGAATTAATTGAGATATAGGATGTTATGCACCCAGCATACAGTAAGTGCTCAGTAAATAGTAGCCATTGCTGTCCATGGCAGTGGAACAGTTTAACTGACTGGAAATTGTCAGTCAAAACTTTCTCATGTAGTTGTATCTTAAAGCCATAATCTACATATTAAGAATGTTACCAGGACTGAAATTTAGACTAAGGCAAGAAAGGCTAAAGTTAAGAATGAATATTATTATCTTAAACAGTGGTGACCCTGGACATTGTAGTTTTGGTCTCACCCCAGAGATGGAAGTTGATTAGAATCATGCATAAAACAAAAGAAAGTGGAGCAGGAGAGAGGTATTTGCAACCTTTACAGACTTATTGGTTACAACTGACATTGCTTTATTTCTCTCTTATAATGAAACAAATCACCTGGCACATGTTTTCCACAGGGCTTTTCCTGCCCTTTCCTCTGATTTAGCAGCCTATCTGCCAAGTTTAGTCCTTTGACTGTAAAGAAACAGACTGTGCTGTTATTAACTCAGTTTCCTATTCTCCAATGCAGATCCACAAAATGCACTCTTTCTTGGACTATATCATGGGTGGCTGTCAAATCCAGTTTACGGTAAGTTGTCCCATTTGTTCTTTTGCAACGAGTAAGGGATTGGGAGTTGCTAGGCTCAGGGGCCTGAAGATGCATGTCTGTTAAAACTCTGGCTCAGCTTGACCAAGTCTCATTGCTGAAATACCATATGGAGCCTTGTGTTTAAAGTTAGTTCATTCTCTCAATTTTCTGCAGTGAGTATGGTTCTCAGCATCACATCAGAAAATGTGTGCCATTTAGCCTGAGGTGGTTTGGAGAGCCCTCAGAATGCTGTCCTTCCTTCAATAACTGTGGGACATGAAGCCAAATCCATCACTTGGTGAGAAGAATAGGTAGGAAGTGAGCTGTTGCAGAAAGTTCCTCTGAGCTAAGGCAGCTGCCTTGGCTGTGTTCTTGTGACCAGAACACAAACACAACTATCATAGCAAGGTTAAACCATCCAATCATTTTACTAGGCAATGAACAGGTGAATTCCAAAGACTGGAGAACCAGGTTGAAATAAGGGTGAGAAGCAGAGTGGGTGTCTAATCTCAGCAGGTGGCCTGAAGCTCATCTCCAATATGTAATCTGAATACTCCTTATGTGTGTTTGGGTGGATATGGTCATGCTTTTTAAAGTACCTGGTATGTCAGTCTTGTGAATCCATGTGCCCTGGAACAGTTTGCCTTCCTTGGCTTAATATTAAGAATATTCCTACAGATGCAACCTCCAGCAAGAAAAAACCCAGATGGCAAAGGAGAAATGTGCTGAAATCCAAACCCATGGGAAAGCCATAAGGATTTAAATAAGAGGGATACAGTGTGTACAGTGTATATTTCTCATCTTACAGACTGGAGGTCATGAAGCTAAGCCCTCTTTAGTTCTCTAGACTAGCTCAATCGTGTGAAGAAAGCATGGAAAATGGATTTAATTTTTTGGTACCCAACCAAATATATTACTGGGACCAAGAATAGTGGTGCCTAAAGCACGAAATGGGTGATTTCTTAGGGGATGAGACAAGTGATCTCTTGATGGTCGTATGTCTCCTTTGCTAGAGGGTTATTCTCTAATTTCAGAAAAACCTACCTATATTCTGCCTATACTCAGGATATTGCTTCTTGAACTCTTACAGGAGCTAATCATTTGGTCACTTCTTTGAAGCTTATCATTCCCTAATGATACATCCCCCCAGCCTCCTACATGCATGATGGCACATATAGAGTGTAACAAACACTTTTACTGTGGGCACACACACTTAACACCATCTGTCCTGTGGGCTCATTGCTTCCGGTTCTATACAAATGGAAGCAGGAAAGCAAACAATGTCATAAAGGAGAGATACTGCAAATAGTTTCCCAAGATGTTAGGCAAAGGAGTGATTTCAGAAAACTATTTATAGGTTTTCCAGGGAAAGTTCTATTGATTTCAGTTTGTTTTAGATTCTGTAAATCCCATGCTCTTGAATAACTCTTTATTCAACGTTCAAGGGCTTGCTTTGCCCTTAGACTTGGACTGCAAATAATCAGCCCCAACACAAACAGGAAGTTTAACCCCAAAGCGTTCCCAGCTCCACTTCCTGACTCTTAGATATCCCCATGGCGTACCTGACACAGGAAGATTGCCCCACCTTGGTTCTTTTCTTTCTCACTTTTCTGACTTCTACACCTGAGAAAGTAGCACCTCAGTGTTTGTCACCAGCAGTCCCCCATTCCCAGACTCTCATTCCCTGCTCTGCCAGCTGATGGATCTGTGAGGAATGTGGGTGAGGAGAACAGTGAAGCAAAGAATGAGAAACAGGAGAATGTACTGTACCCATAAATGTGGAAGAGGAGAAGACAGTCCTTGCCTCACTGCCCTTCCTCCTGTAGGATTTCGGGTTGCAGACTTGGAGGTGGAGTGCTAGGTGTTCTATTTTGAGTGTTCTATTAAGAAAACATCACTTCAATGTCATTTTCCTTCAAAATGAAGCCAGCTGTCTCACCATAAATTTCTTATTGCTCAAGCAGTAAAATCTAATGTAAATTAAAAGTTATAATGAAAATAGTTAATAAAAATTAGCATGTCATTTAATTTGGTCTGCGAGTGTTTATTTCTACTAAGTAATTTTGTTGAAACCATTTTGCAACTTGAAAGAGAAATGAGGAGAGATAAGAAGTGGGGAGCAGGCTTCCTGTCATGGAGGTGGGCAGAGAGCATGAGGGCCCATGGAGGAGTTTCACTGCAGCAGCTGTACTACTAAGCCTTCCAGGGATGAACCTCCCATCCATACATAGTATCACTCATGGCTCCTGAGCCAGCCCAGTAGCTTTAGGCAACACAAACTTTGTGTCTCCCTGAGGAAGGACCTTTGGGAGCCAGAGGTGACAGAGTTCTGATGCTCTCTATTTCCTCCTCCAGTTTCACTCCTCTTTCTCACTTCTCTCCTCTGCGCTCTAGGAACTGACCTCTTTGGAGGCGTTACTCGGGCTCTCTTGCTCTCCATTTTTGGTTGGGTTTGACCAACGAGAGCACCCATTAGAGTTCCAACAGGAGGAGAGAGAATTTGAGGTACTTATTCCCCCAGCTTTCAACCTTCCAGGGTAGTGTTTGGCAGTGACTTTGCTTTTCCACAGAAAGTCGCATTTCCCACCAGGCGCCCGTCCTGCAGGTAGTCTTCTTGCAGAGCTCTACTAACTGCTCCTTCCTACCCTTTAGACTGGCTTCCCTCAACCTGTCTAGCACATTTGTAAATTGTCCTTTTGTTAAACTCGCTTCTCTTCGGTCGCCTCTGTTGAGTGAAGTCTTTATTTCTTGTAGAAATTCTCACCAGCACAGTCACAGGGCTAGGAAAAAGTCTCTTTCATAGATGCTGGTGCTTCCAGTTCAACCTAAGAGTTTCTCTTCAGACACCAGGCTGCTCAGAATACTTCTAATGAATTATAATCAGTCAAACTCTAAACTTTCGTTGGAAGATAACTTTTAAGGAAATGAACAAATTGAATGACTAAAGAGGATTACTGGGGTTTTATTTTTAAAACACCCCCAATAAATTTAGGTTCATGCATCCATATATTCTAATGATAAATATCTCACTTCTGTTAATATTAATAAACAGGATGTATTTAGGGGAATATTATAGAAGCATTTTGCAATGAGAACCTGAGAAGTTTGATTTTTGAGGTAATTTGGTAGATAGATAATGGAATATTCAAAATGTCATGAAATGGCATGCTTTAGGCACATGCTTTAGTTAATCTGGGAGTATTTGACAAAAGGCATTGATAGTGATGAAAGGTGTATGAAAGATGAAACAAGAAGAAATTAAAGACTAATCCAACAGGTCTGGTGATAAGTGGGTAGGCTAGTGTGCCAGCCATAAAAGTATTTCAGAAAGACCAAAGATGCATTCATTGGTAACTCAGCCTATGGTAAAAGGAGGAGACTGAAAGCAAAGGAGGAACTTGAATCCAGGAAAACTTGGAGATTTTGTGTCTAATAAGCATAACAAGGCAGTCTACTCGTGGAAATATACAAATCAAGAACACTTTGAGCAAAAGAATGAATTTGGTTCTGGACATATTAGAAATGCTTTCAGGTAATCCACTGGAGATGGCACTTTTAAACATGAACCAAAGTTTCAAGAAAAATGTGGACTTGTATGTATATGTGTGTAGATGAGGTGGTCAAATAGAAGAATACAGAAAGACAAGGGACCTGAGGACAGGATATTGAAGAGGAACCCCAGTTGGTAGCAGGAGAAGCAGGAAGAAAATAGACACTACAGGAGCAGAAAATCTAGGAGGAGACAGAAACTCAAACCCCCAGGAAGGAAAAGTTACAAGGTCAGAGTAATGATCACATAAACTAGAGAACTCAAAGAATGCAATGCCATGCAACAACTGGCTTCTATGATGAGTCGTCATATATCATCTTTGAAAAAAAAACTATTTCAGCAGAATGAGATAAGTGAGGCCCTGGAGATAGTGTGTAAACAGAAGGTAAAGAAGTGAACACAGTAGAAATAATTATGCATTCAAGAAGTCTTACAAAAGGGAAGACCAGAGGAAAAGGAGGATAGAAATTCAAGGATTAAATGAAGGGAAGTTTTAAGCGAAAATCTGACCAAAGTCAGAAGAGAAGCCCCAGTAGAGGGGAAAAGATAAAAGATGTTAAAAATAGTCTTGGTCAATGATTCTTACTCTTTTTGGGTCACCTTAAAACTTGAGAATCTGACACATGATCTGTATCCTCTCACTAAAAATTACACACACACAATTTCGCATGGAATTTTTAGGAAATCAAGGCATCCTTGAAGACAATCTCCATACCTCATATGAATCCTTGAGACATAAGAACTCCAGAGCATAAACCAAAAATATCCTTGCAAAAGAAGAAACAAACATCAAATTACACAAAACTTTCAATGAACTAAAATAACTAGTATGATACAAATTAGCACATATATTGAAATAGTTCTAAACAATGGAATTTATAGTTTGGGGAAGTATTTGAAATTCTTCCAACTTCCTGTTTAATATCTCTTCTATTTTGCTCTCCTTGTTTCTCTCTCTCTCTCTCTCTCTCTCTCTCTCTCTCTCTCTCTCTCTCATATAAGAGAAATAGCCAGCGTGTCTGAATTATTTCACTTAACATTATGTTCCCAAGTTGTATCCATGTACCTACAAATGCCTCAAGTTTATCTTTCTTTTATTTTTGGAAGGTCTAATATCTTGAATTTTTATATATTCTTAATGTTGGCTCTTTGTGGAATAACTAGAAAAAAATTTCCCATTTTATAGATGTCTATTTACTTTGTTGGTTGTTTCCTTTGCTATGCAGAAGCTTTTGAATTGCTATGATTCCATTTGTGAATTCTTGATATTATTTCTTCTGCCATTAGCGTTCTGTCTTTAAGAGTAGTATTTATTTTATATTTTAGCAGATTAAGTGTTTCTCTTTTAATATTTATAGCTCTGATCCATTTTGGTGAAGTATGTGGGTCTAGGCTCAATTTTTTGCATGTGGATATCCAGTTTTCCCACCACCATTTATTACAGAGGCTC